AGGCTCAGGCAATCCACTCACCTCAGCCTCCCAAAGCGCGGGATTACAGGCTGAGCCATTTAGAACACGGTTGTAGCAAGCTCCTTTGAAGCCAGATAACATTGTTTCAAAAACAGAAAAATACATTAGAAAATTGGCTGTTTGTTTAGGTCTAATTTGTGAGTGGCCTAAAATGAAGGAAAAGATGAACAGTGGCTTGAAAAGAGTTTAAACCCAGTTCAAGTTACAAAACAAACGAATTCTAAGTTTTTCTTTTCTTTTCTTTTTTTTGAGTTGGAGTCTCACTCTGTCATTTAGGGTGGAGTGCAGTAGCGTGCTCATGGCCACCGCAGCCTTGACCTGCTAGGCTCAGATGATCCTTCCACCTCAGCCTTCCAAGTAGCTGGAACTACAGGTATGTGCCACCATGCCTGGATTATTTTTTGATTTATTGGAGAGATGAGGTCTCACAAAGTTGCCTAGGCTGGACTTGAAACCGTGGGCTCAGGCAATTCTCTCTTCTTGGCCTCCCAAACTGCTGGGATTATAGGCGTGAGCCACCATGCCCGGTCTCTAAGTTTTATTGAATAGAAAATATCACCAAGGAGACAAAGTTTATATAAGGTGAGTTTATTACTGTCAGCTTAATAATATAGTACATATGTTCATGATTTTAGTTACCCACAGACAGTGGAGACAGCGCTCAATATTTCATGTTAAGTCTCAAGATCCTGATGAAAAACTTTCCAATTTGAAAAGTTGTGTCCAAACACAACTGCAATTTTCTACAGCGAAAGCCCCTGTAAGAGTACCCTCAAGACTAAGGCGTGGCTTTAAGCTGTGGCACTTTAGTTGCCTGGGGCTGGCTGACTTTTTTCCTGGGGGCAGCTGCTCAGAATGCAGTGAAGAAGCTAAAAGAAACAGGTCATACAGTCCTTTCAGGAAGGCTAGGAGAGAGGGACTCTTTGCTTGCTCAATCAAGCTGTCACCAATATGAAATAATAATGGGTGGGAGAGGAAAAGGCACCCCTGAAATGAATGGAGGAAAACATAAAAATGCCTGCAATTGGATGATGCTATAATAGTCAAATAGCTATTCAATACTGCATGAATATCTAAGTCCTTTGCTTTTGCATCGTAAGAACAGTACTAGGCTTTTGGCCCCATACCAAAAAAGGACTGCTACTATAGGATGTGGCAGCCACCTAGACAGTAACACAAAGTGAAAAATGGGACTGGGGAAAAAAGTCATGGTTGATTCTTGTGGGGGAAGGGAAGTTTGGCAACTACATTTTCGACTAAGCAGGAAACAAATATCCTCACAGGATGTGTCCTGGGGCCAGGACAGGAAGAGATGCCTGCCTTGCAGGCGTGTCTGCTGACCTTGTGTTCTCACAGGAAGGCTCAGGGCCTCCTCTATGCAGTCACCGACATCCCATGATCCCATGGTTATTTAAGCTCACTACTAGCCACACATATTGGGAACTTTTCTTCGGGAGCTGTCTTCAGATCAAGGCACATGCTAGTTAAATGCCATGACCCTCCTTTGTGAGTGTGCATGTGCATGCATGTATGCATTTTTTGTTGCAGTAAAATACACATAAAATCAACAACTTAAACCATTCTAAAGTATACAAATCAGGAGTATTTAACATATTCACAACAACCAACATCACCATCTAGATTCAGATGTTTCTAACCTCCAAAGGAAACCCTGTACCTGTTAGATAATCATCCCTCAACCCTTCCCCCCACTCCTGCAACCACTAATCTGCTTTCTGTCTCTATGGATTGCCATTCCGTGGTGAGACACTATTATCCATATGAGTATGGAAATTCCATCTATTATAAATGGAAATCAGCCAGGCTCGGTGGCTCAGCCTGTAATCCCGCACCTTTGGGAGGCTGAGGTGAGTGGATTGCCTGAGCCCGCGGGTTCGAGATCCGCCTGGGCAGCGAGACCTCATCTCTACAATAAATAAAAAAAAAAATCAGCCGGGCGTGGTAGCGCACGCCTGTAATTCTGGCTGCTCGGAAGGGTGAGGCGGAAGGATCGCCAGAGCCCAGGAAGACTGAGATAGAAGGATCGCCAGAGCCCAGCAGGTCGAGGCTGCGGTGGCCGGGAGCGGCCGCTGCACTCCAGTCTGGGCGACAGTGAGACTCCGACTCAAAAGAAAACAAAAGGAAATCATACAGGATGTATCTTTTGTGTCTGGTTTCTTCCACTTTGCAAAACGTTTTCAAGGTTCAACCATGTTGTAGCGCACAGCGGTACTTAACTCCTTTTTATGGCAGAACGATATGCCATACTGTGGATAGATCACAGCTGGTCCATTCATCAGTTGACAGACATTTGGGCTATTATTTTCACCTTTTCTGTACTGTGAGTTGTGCTTAAATGAATATTCTTGTACAAGTTTTTGCTTAAACATTCATTTTTTTTCTTTTTTGAGCTGGAGTCTCACTGTTACCCAGGCTGGAGCAGTGGTATGATTATGGTTACTGCAGCCTCGACCTGCTGGGCTCAGGTGATCCTTCTATCTCAGTCTTCCAGGTAGCTGGAACCACAGGTGCATGTCACCACATCCGGCTAGTTTTTTGATTTATTGTAGAGACGAGGTCTCGCCAAGTTGCCCAGGCGGGTCTTGAACCCCTGAGCTCAGACAATCCTCTTACTTCTACCTCCCAAAGTGCTGGGATTACAGGCATGAACCACCATGCCTGGCTCCATTTTCAATCTTTTGAACATGTACCTGGGATTGAAATTGCTGGGTGATATGGTAATTTTATGTTTAACTTTTTTTTTTGAGTTGGAGCCTTATTCTTGTCGCCCAGGCTGGAGTGCAGTGGCATGCTCACAGTCACCACAGACTTGACCTGCTGGGCTTAGGCGATCCTTCCGCCTCAGCCTTCCAAGTAGCTGGAACTACAGATGCATGCCACCATGCCTGGCTATTTTTTGTGATTTACTGCAGAGAAGAGGTCTCACCAAGTTGTCCAGGATGGTCTCGAACCCCCAGGTTCAGGCAATCCTCTCACCTCGCACTCCCATCGTGCTGGGATTATAGGCTGAGCTACCACGCTCGGCCTATGTTTAACTTTTTGAGGAACCACCAAATTGTTTACCATAGCGCTGCACCATTCTACATGTCCGCTGCACCATTTTATATGTCCACGTGCCTATTTTTCTATATCCTTGTGAATACTTGTTATTTTCCATGGTTTTGATTATAGGGATCCTAACAGGTGCAAAGAGGTATCTCATTGTGATTTTAATTTGCACTTCCCTAGTGACTAATGATGCTGACTATGCTTTCTAGTGCTTGTTGGTCATTTGTGTATCTTTTGGGAGAAATATCTACTCACGTGCTCTGCCCATTTTTTTTATTGGGTTGTTATCTCTTACTGCTTCCAAGATTTTC